AAAAAAAAAAAAAAAAAAAAAAAAACCACACAGAAGTCAAGAGTTCAGAGGAATGGAGCCTTGAGGAAAAAACCTGGGAGACCCAGTCTTAGAACAAAGCCTGAGCCCAAAGGTAAGCGGGGTTATTTTTCAAAAATGTAGCTGGTTAGAAACAAACAAAACTAAGGCTAGAGTAGCGTAGTGCCTACAGCCTCAGGTTGCTGAACAGCAAAGACGAGGACAAGGACACTCCATGCCCCGCCCTTTCTGCCTTGACCCCTACAGCAAGCTTTCCAGTAAGTGCTGGAAAAACTCATCTTTTCCTCTATGGGGGGGTGGGGGGTGGGGAGGGTACTAAGTATGGAGAAAGGTCTGACACTGGCTCCAGCCAACCGGGAGCCTAATTTCCTTAGCAAGATTAAGATCTGGACCCACAGAGTGGTCCAACCCAACCCCAGTACTTGGCCTAAGATTTTCTGTCACACAATTTCCCTCCTTGCAACTCCCTAGAGCAGAAGTTCTTCAGGTCTCTTCCCCATTTGGCAGCTCATGCAAAGCTCCTTAAAATAGTAACAGCTAAATTTGAATTAATAAAGAACTCCAGTTATGGGTGGGCTCAACTTAAGGAAGAGGCTCTGTGGGCCACCTGGCTTATTTGGGTCCTGAGAACTGATTTCATCAACACTGGGCCTCATTCTTGGGGCTGAACACTGTATTCTGCCCTTCAAGGGGTAACTGAGGGAGACAAGCTAAACTTCTCCCCTCACATCCCCCTACCCTCTACAAGCCAGCAGCTTCCATTCCCGCTTAGAGGACTAAGCAGGTAGGCTCTGGAGCCATGCCACACAGTATTATAGAGAATACTGATTACAGCGAGAGTCCTAGTTTTAAAACCCCAGCTTTTGCTGGCTGTGTGGGCATGAACAAGTCACTTCACCTCTTAAAGGGTAATGCCAACTGGTTTGTTAAAGATTAAACAGAGATCTGTAAAATGCTTAGCACTGTCCCCATTTCCAAGTCTCAATAAAGGTTAGCTGTATTTATTTTTATAGGCTTAGAAAGAACATGGGTTTTGATGGCAGATAGACTCAATTTGAATCTTGGCTTGATGATTAATGGTCTAGGGAAATGACTGAACTTTCTTTTGTTTTTGTTGTTTTTTTTAACAGACGTGGTCTTGCTGTTGCCCAGGCTAGAGTGCAGTGGCTTGATCATTAGCTCACTGCAGCCTCAAATTCCTGGGCTCGAAAACTCCTCTTGCCTCAGTCTCTCAAGTAGCTGGGACACACCATCACACCCAGCTAATTTTTAAAATAATTTTTTGTAGAGATGTGAGTCTTGCTATGTTGCCCAGGATGGTCTTGAACTGCTTGCTGGGCTCAAGTCATCCTCCCACTTTGGCCTCCCAAAGTCTGGGATTCTAGGTGTGAGCCACCATTCCTGGCCTACTGAACTTTTTGAGCTTCATGTTTCTCAGCTATAAAATGTGGCTAATAAATGATAGGAAAAAATCTTTCCTGTATTCTGCCCTTCCCAATATACATACTCAACACTGATAGCACACTAGAAAAAGAGCAAGCAGAGAAAAATATCCTAAAGCTTGGCTTATCCATACGCTATCACAGAGGCTAAGTGAACAGTGAATAAGAAGCAGCAATCAGGCCAGGCACAGTGGCTTACACCTATAATCCTAGCTCTCTGGGAGGCCAGAATCAGGTGGATTGCTTGAGCTTAGGAGTTCAAGACCAGACTGAGCAAGAGCAAGACCCCATCTCTACTAAAAATAGAAAAACTGATGGCACTCATAGCTCAGTGAGTAGGGTGCTGGCCACATACGGGTTCAAACCCAGCCCAGGCCAACTAAAACAACGATGACAACTCCAACAGCAACAACAAAAAAATAGCTGGGCATTGTGGCGGGCACCAGTAGTCCTAGCTACTTGGGAGGCTGAGGCAAGAGAACTGCTTAAGCCCAAGAGTTTGAGGTTGCAATGAGCTGTGATGCCACAGCACTCTACCTAGGGTGACAGCTTGAGACTGTCTCAAAAAAAATAAAGGATGGTACCTATGGCTCAAAGGAGTAGGGCACTGGCCCCATATACCAGAAGTGGTGGGTTCAAACCTGGCCCCAGCCAAAAAAAAACTGCAAAAAATAAATAAATAAAAATAAAAAAATAGAAAAACTCCCCATGACAGTATTAATGTACACAGCTATGATTTAATTTAAAAAATTAGAAAAACTGAGGCAAGAAGATTTCTTGAGCCCAAGAACTTTAGGTTGCTGTGAGCTATCATGCCATAGCACTCTATTCAGGGCACCAGAGTGAGACTCTGTCTCGAAAAAAAAATAAAAAAGAGGTAATCACAGGACCCATGTACCTTAGGAGTGGGATAGTCAGGGCCTGATGTTCCAGTGAGAGTAGAGACAAACCATTTTGTTTTTCCTTCGATGCACTGCTGGTTGAAATGGACAGGCAGAGCTTTGCCGATGATTCCCTTAACCAAACATCCTGGAGAGAAGAAAAGAACTCTTGGCAGGCAAGTGAACCCCTAGGTCTCCCTTTTTCCACCCCATCCCTTCACCTCAAGTTGAAACTCAGTCTCAACACAGAGTGTCACTGTAAATTGTTTATTAAAACACAAAGCAATGGACAGTGAAAAACATCCTGATTTTTTACTTTTTGGTGGGAGTAGGATGGGGCATGGAAGGGAAAGGGACAGATGGAGACAGCTCAGAAGAAAAGCCAACTCTATCCACCCCTACAGCTCCCCGGCCAGCCAGGTTCAAAGCCCCTCGATTATATCTCATTTTGCCACTGTGAATGCATGTTGTGGCTACAAATAGTTGGTTTGGCCTCTGCAAAGGACGGGAAACTAAAGTAAGACCTGCAAGGGTTACTAAGAATTGACATTTTTTTTCTCTAGTACTTGGTACAGAATAGAGCAGCCAGACCCAATATGGAGGGGTAAGGTTAGTTTCCTGACAAGTCAGGTTATGCCAATAATTGTTGAAGCGGCTACCCTGAGCTCAGAATGGACAGCTGGTCCTAGCCTAAGAGAACTTCATGGAAGGAAAAGGTAACATTCCTTCAATTTAAGGAGGAACTAATCCAGGGTCAAATTGCTTTTCATTCCCTGGATCTTGACACACCAGAGAAGAGAGGAGTCAAGAATGATTCTCCCTGCCAATTCTCTCCTCCCACCTAGCAACCTGGCTCTCCTTTCCCAACAGTTGTCCTTTGAAAGGACGGAAAGCGCACTTCAGTTTGTTGTTGTTTTTCCTCATACTGAAATAAAGCACTGAAGCTGAAAATAGAGGTGAGAATGGAGTTCTGCTTTCCCCAGTGCTATGTGCCCCCATCTTATAAGACTGTCTGGATGTGAGAGGTGCCAAGGCCCTCTCTGCCAACTTAAACAGGCACTACTGTCTCTCCAGCTGCCAGCACAACCCTGGCTCCTTATTTTATATTCCTGGGAGAACCTGTCCCAAGAGATCCATCCTGCTCTTTTCCTGCCAACCCAGCCAGGCCCCAAATCACCTGCTCTTATCAAGATGATCTGGCAACCCAAAGTAGGCTAGACAAAAGGAAGCTGAGAAGGACACACCAGATAGGCAGCAAGGCACACATGTGCAAAGAAGCAGCCTACCCTCACTGACAGCTGACTCATTGATGACAATCTAGTCTTATAACAAAATGAGGAAATCCAGCTCTCTTGCCTTAGGATAGGTCTAAACACAGAGTCTTAGCTCTTGGACTAAAAGGGAAAAATTGCTCTGATCTCTTCGAAGCTTGAACATTAAGGCTTCTTTGCAAATTTCGTAGAGCTCTTTGATCCCTAATTATATCTTTCCATACAAGAGAATCTGGTTTCTTCTGAGATCTCCGGACAGATCCTGGGTACTTCTGGTTATGCTTCAGTGCAGGATCACAGCCTTGCCCTAGCCTCTTTCCTCACAGGCCACAGCAGGAGGCCCAAACATACCTCCCCATCCTGCCTTTAAAAAAAACAATAACAACAACAACAACAACAAAAACAGGAGCATCTATTAGTCTCTCACTTTAGTTTAAAAAGCTCTCTTGCTCTCCTAGGTTCTATTGGAGATGCATGGAGGACAATATTATATGTTGCCACTCAATGCCATTAAGGCTCCTCAAGGCAAAAAGACACTTGAAGAATTATGTCAGAGTAGATTAGCAAAGGGGAGGGGGAAGAAGGAATGGGAAAGCAGCCCCATGGGAGGGACTGTAGGACCTCTTCCCAGACCTGAATCTAGAGGGCATGTCCACCCTGGCTCAGAGCAGGAGAGGAAAAGGCACTGTGCTGACCGGGATGGGTCCTTCCCTAATCCCCAGGGAGAGTAGAGAACCTGATGATTCTTTCCCTGGGTTTTCCAAGGTGAGCTCACTCCTAGGGAAAGGGATGTTACACTAGGTAAAGGAAAATACTGCTGCTGTTTTCTGAAGTTCTCAGCTGAGATTCTACAAGCCATGGCCAGGCCATTCCAGGAGAGGTTAGAGGCAGGATAAGAAGGAAGAGAAATTCCTTAAAACAGAAGCTTTTCCCAAAAGATAAAATAGTCAAATCATAATTCTAAAACTGGACAGTTTCCCAGGCATAGAAAGAGGGAGGTAAACTTAACTCAAACCTAAGTGACCTCTAATGTGATGCCAGCAACTATTAGGCAGTGGGAGCAAGAGAACATGATGATCAACACTCTCAAGCCAGCAGGTGGCCCCGCAGGTAGGAGCTAGTCCTCTTGGGAGTCTAACATCTTTGACACTTGAAGATAACTATTTTTCAGATCACTAGAACTCAGGCTATTCACTAAACAGCCTCACATTAATTGAGATTTTTTTTAGAAAAATGGATCAGGTTTAGGAAACGTGAATCCCACAGTTTCTTGGCACTATTTTAATAAGCATGAGACCCAAAAAAGTCTGATTAGAGACTAGCTGCCCCTGACCCAGAGCTAGACTGCAGACTCTCAACCCATCTCCAGTAAACATCTTTGCATGGCCCTTCCAGAAACTCAACCGAGGCCACACTTCTGGCAAAGTAAGTTTCACACAGACTGTCTGCTCTTATCTTTGGCCAGCTAGGCTGAGTGGGAAATAAAAACCTGAGACAGAGCATAGATTCAACAGAACAGCCCAAGCCTCTCTTACCCACACCAACTAACTGGCAACCCTCATCACCTCCCAAGACCAGTCCAACTCCCTATGGTATAGCCTCTCAGTCTCAGCACTAGCTCAAAATACAGACAGAGGAAAAACAGTGCAAAAAAAAAAAAAAAAAAAA